CTTCTGCCTACCCAAATGACATGTGGCTTGAGCAGCTGGAGAACCTGGTTTACTACAACCGGCTGAAGAACTCGAAGATTGTCATCAGCGACTTCCACCTGGCTAAGCTAGAGAATGGCCTCATCAAGGAGCCCTGTGGGACCCCTGAGTATCTAGGCAAGCAGGGATGGGACAGGGGCAGGTTAGGGGAGGTCAGCCTTGAGGGAATCACTTTGGGTAGGGGGATGTCCCTATCTCAGGTAGTAGTTGTGGATGGCCTGATACTGACTAGCATTTGGACATTGTTTGTAGCCCCGGAGGTGGTAGGCCGGCAACGGTATGGACGCCCTGTGGACTGCTGGGCCATTGGTGTCATCATGTATATCCTGTGAGTGGATGGGTAGACATGCAGGCTTGCAGCTGGGTGGGGAAAGCCCTATGTCTGGCTATCTTGGGTGACTCTGCTTCCATGTAGGCTTTCAGGTAACCCACCCTTCTATGAGGAGGTAGAAGAAGATGATTATGAGAACCATGATAAGAATCTGTTCCGGAAGATCCTGGCTGGCGACTATGAGTTTGACTCTCCATACTGGGATGATATTTCTCAAGCAGGTGAGGAGATGCTCAGTATGTGGGTAGAGTGTAGGGCAGTGGGAAGGGAGGCGCTGCTCTCAGCTTCTCTGCTGGATTCTGCTCCTGCCCCCTAGCCCATTCATCACCTCTAGACAATGAGATGGGGCGCCCATGCGTAGCTCCTTCCTGGCTTTGTCCCCAGCCAAAGACTTGGTCACAAGGCTGATGGAGGTGGAGCAAGACCAGCGGATCACTGCAGAAGAGGCTATCTCCCATGAATGGTGAGCAAGGCCCAGGAGAGAACTGAAGGAGGAGAGTCCAGGCTTCTCTTGACTTCTATTCCCCTCATACCTAAATGTCCCCATCCCTGAGGCCTTGACCCAAGTTCCTGCCAGCCCACAGGCTTTGCTTGGTAGTCTTGGATCCTGTAGTGGGAGGACTGGACAGAATCTTCCCAAAGACCCATATCTCTCAGATCCAGATGTACTTGTACCCTTCCCAGGATTTCTGGCAATGCTGCTTCTGATAAGAACATCAAGGATGGTGTTTGTGCCCAGATTGAAAAGAACTTTGCCAGGGCCAAGTGGAAGGTAAGTTTTGATTGTTCTCTTTCTTGGCCCAGTCCTAAGTGTTCTTTCTGATACCCAGTTTCTTGCCCATACCATACCTCTGCAAAACCATAGACAAGCTTTCTTTAGGTTCTCATGAATGGCTGTCATGGCCTTAAGCGGAGTACTGAGCAGTTGGATCCCTGGTCTAAGGTGGTCAGAAGTAGCTGGGGTACCATGGAAGGGGCTGGGTTTAGCAATTGCCAGGGATTGGATCCAGCTAGCCTCACCTTGAGTTTCTTTTTTTTATTATTTTTTTTATTGGTTGTTCACAACATTACAAAGCTCTTGACATATCATATTTCATACATTAGATTGAAGTGGGTTATGAACTCCCAATTTTACCCCAAATGCAGATTGCAGAATCAYGTCKGTTACACATCCACAATTTTATATAATGCCCAATTAGTAATTGTTGTATTCTGCTACCTTTCCTATCCCCTACTATCCCCCCTCCCCTCCCCTCACCTTGAGTTTCTCCTCCACTGTCCTCCTTTCAGAAAGCTGTCCGAGTGACCACCCTCATGAAACGGCTCCGGGCACCAGAGCAATCTGGCACAGCTGCAGTGCAGTCTGGCTCAGCCACAGACACTGCCACCCCTGGGGCTGCAGGTGGGGCTGCAGCTGCAAGTGGATCTGCCACAGAGGGTGATGCTGCATGTGCTACCAAGAGTGAAAATGTGGCCTCTGCAGACCGTAGTGCCACCCCAGCCACAGATGGCAGCACCACTCCAGCCACTGATGGGAGTGTCACTCCAGCCACTGATGGGAGCATCACCCCAGCCACTGATGGCAGTGTCACCCCAGCCACTGACAGAAGCGCTACTCCAGCCACGGATGGGAGAGCCACTCCAGCCACAGAAGAGAGCATGGTGCCCACCACCCAAAGCAGTGTCACACCAGCTGCCAAGGCAGCTGCCACCCCTGAGCCGGCTATGGCCCAGCCGGACAGCACAACCTTAGAGGGTGCCACAGGCCAGGCTGTACCCTCTAGTAAAGAAGGGGCTACTGGCTATGCCCAGGAGTCTGGAAGAGAGGAGACCAGCTGAGTGGGCAGTCTGGTGGGGGATGGGGGGCGGGCAGGAGGGTGGGAGAGTGAATGAGGGGCTTTTCATTGTACATAGAGTCACTGGCATGATGCCCTTGCTCCCCCAAGCTCCCCATCCTAGTGGGGCATTCCTGGGGGCCACGGGAGAGCAGTCTTGTCTCCTGTGTGTATGTGCGAGTGGTGGGCAGGCCAGAGGCAGGGCCAGCCCCAACCCCTGCATGGATACCTTGTGGCTTTTCTGTCTGTTGCTACCTTCATGAATTTTTGTTCCTTGTGGGATGCTGCTCTAGGGATCTCAGGGGGTCCCTGCTCTCTTTCTCCTTCCCTTCCTGCCTCATCATTCACCCAGGCAGGCCCTGCAGGTTCCATACTTTCCCAGGCCCTAAATTGAGTGGCCTTGCCCTGAGAGCTGGTCCTCCAGCGAGGCCCTGTCAGTGGTGTTAGGCTCCTACATATGAAGGTGTGTACCTGTGGTATGTGGGCTGCTTTAGGAGTAGACGCTGGCTAGTACAGAGCATCCAAAAATCTAGGGCAGTTTGCTTTAAATCAAGATTGGTCATGTGTTGGCTGGGGGCACTAAATGCTAGCTGTGGGGGTCCTTAGAAATACGAGCGATGATAAGAGAATGAGTAGGAGGGTAGAAGCTTCCATCTTTGTCCCTGGGAAGGCCCTCCTGAGACGCTTGTGTTATTTCTTGCCCTCTTGAGTCCTGCAGTGGGTTTCCCTGTACCCTGAACCTCTTGGGCCTCTACGGGAAAGGAGAAGCAATTAGGATGTGGCAATGAGACCTGGTAGAACATAGTAGAGGACTAGCACCCAGTGCCCCAGCCTAGCTGGATCCTTACCATGGGCTAAACAGGGAGGGCTGATGTCCCCATTCTCTTTCTGTATGCTAACCCTGCACAGGCTCAGCCCATAAGTCTTCTCTATCCCAGGGGGGCTGCTGATTAGTGATAATCCTTAGTATGATCTGGGGGTTTGCCCTTCAGAGGGGTGGATTTTCTGCTCTCAGTTTAACAAGAACATGGAGAAGATCCTTCTCTGTTTTTACTGTTGCTTCTATCAGAGGCCTAGGGGCCTCTGAGCCATGTTAAGTTGCTTTTGCTGGGATGAAGAAGTATAAGACTCCCTAGTACCCTGAGGGAGGTTCCTGACAGGTGCCCTTTGTCAGACACTACCACAGCCTGGACAGGCAACCATACTGGTCCTCGCCCTTGCTTGGCATTCCATGGTGGTCCTGCCATTCTCCTTGCATGCCTGTGGGTCTGCTCTGGTACGTGAAGGTTGGTGGGCTAATTGTGTGCCTGCTGAACCTGGCAAATAAACGTCACCCTGCAAAGCCTCTGGCCACCCTCTTGCCTTTGCTTCCTCTGTCCTACCAAGGAAGAGTCCCTGGAAGGCAGTGGGGAGGGGAGAGGCTGGGAGAAGGTTCACAGGTAGTAGCTGACGCTCAGTAGATTGCTTGAGCTGAGAGTGAAGGTTACTCTCAACCAGTTGATCCACAAAGGTGGTGGTGGGTGTCCTCTGGACTCTAGAAATCCATGTGGGTGGTGCATTCTGAGCTAGATATGGGCCCAGGAATACCTCCTGGGCTGAAAGCTCAAGTAAGGGCTGCTGTTCTGACTTCTGTTGATTAAAGGAGCCTTTGTCTTAACTTGGGTACAGAGCCAGAACCCATCCAGGGCCAACCACCACAGCAAGCAACCTTGCTCATAGCCTAAGTGGGCTTTCCTTAGCTGGGGAGAAGGTATAGGATGGGCATTGCACAAAGGTTCTATACTGCTGTGTGTTGATTCCTTCCTGTGAACACCTGTGCTTTCCACATAGGCCCAATGGGATTTTGCTCCATGGCTTCTTCAGCTCATGGGGCGCTGCACAAAGTTTCTTCAGGAGAGAGAGTAACCCTGTCAAAACGACTGAAGATCCCAAAGTAGTCTTGCTCTAGCCCAGAGCTGAACTCACCAGGGTTGCTGCTTTCTCAGGGAGAATCTCAAAGAATAACTTATTCTTTTGTGGGAATAATAAAAAGGGTTGTTAGTTCCTGGTCTTCGAAGCATTTGTGCCTCCAAAATTGCAACCCTTCTACATTCTCAGGCATGAATCCTGGGAGCTGAGAGCTAAATTAAATTACTGGCCCTAGTATCTCCAAACCCGGGGATCATTAGCTCTTACTTAGATAAAGCCAAGGTTACTGTGGGTCGTGCTGGTTGGTTGGGCCATACATATCCATCTTTCCAAGATCACTAATAATCTTAGGCTGAGAGGGTGGGGCATTCTTTTGGTCTGGGAACTATAAGCTGCCAGTGCGCGTTCTATAAGCGGAACTATAAGAGGTTCAGCACTGCCCAGAAACCCGGGGACCCATGGGGACCACGGTTCCATTCCCTTGTGGCTGCAGTCTTGACTTTCCCTGAGTGCTGAAAGAAGAGACAGCCCAGGCCTGGTCATTTTGCGCCAGTTTGGTACCACAACAGCCAGCTTTGCTTGGAAGAAGGGTTATCTCGCAGCGTCGCTGCTTTCCGCCCTAATCCAAGGCAGTGCCCTTTGTCTCAGGAGTTGGTGGAGGTGTCCAAAAACCGCTTAAGAGCCACCGCGCTCAATCCCAGGATTCTCTATGGTCGAGGGCCGCTAAACCTCATCAATGGTCCCGCCCCGCCGGGATTTAATCCAATCAGAGCCAAACATTCGGGCTCTTTTCCCGGTTTGGTGTCGTCATTTCCGGTTTATTCCCGGAAGTCGTGCTGTGGAGCCAAATTTGAAGCAGGCTGAGACCCGGGGGCGCGGCCACGAAGTTGGACCTGTTGCAGTTTCCTTGGCTACCTGGKCCGCTTGAGTCCAGCCATCATGCCTCTCCGTGCCCTGTGCACTATCTGCTCAGACTTCTTCGACCACTCCCGCGACGTGGCGGCCATCCACTGTGGACACACCTTCCACCTTCAGTGGTGAGTGACAGCGGTGTACGGGCCCACGCTTGCCCTGGTACTGCTTCGGGGCCTTAGGGTGTCTGACCTTCAGGCAACCCATACTCGAAGCCCAGATGGGCGGTGAGGACCTCAATAGGCTGAGCTCCGCGGGAGCTTCCAGACCTGGGCTGAAGTGGGTAAGGCGGAGGTGATAACTGAGCCCCCAGGGGGCAGAATTGGTGTAGTGAAGAGAGTAGGGGCTTCCATGAAACTTAACAGGCTTCTGACCACCCAAAAGGTTTTGTTGTGGATTGATTCTGTCTAGAATCATCTCATGAGCCAAATACACCAGTTTATGCACCATGCCAGCGAACTCGATTTAATATGGAAAGGCAAGGAGATAATTCCCTATCAAGGAATCCTGCTGACTATATAGGACCATTTTGTTGAGTGTAATAGTAATAGTCACAGGGAACTCGTAGGACCAAAGGCCTCAGGGAGCAGGTAGCTAGGCATCATCTTGATAGCTACAGGGTGCCCCTTACTTGCAAAGCTCAGGGTTTCTGATGGCTTGAGCCCCATGCTGAGGGAACCATTGTTGTTTGATTAGAAACGAAAGATCACTTCTTAAAATATTTTATTTACTGTTATATCCTCTGTTTTCTAACTTTTCACTTTAGTCTTTTCTGTGTATTCATGTTTTACATGTGAAAACAACCTTTAGTTGGACTTTAAAAATCTCCTCTTATAATCTTTGTATTTAACTGGACCATTTAGTCTACTTAAAATGTTGCAATGGGGATGCAGTGGCAGACAGGAGGATCACATGTTCAAGGCTTAGTGAGGGGCTGGGGATGTGGCTCAAAGCGTGCAGCCCGGGTGTCATCCTCAGCACCACATACAAACAAAGATGTTGTGTCTGCCGAAAACTAAAAAATAAATATTAAAAAATTCTCTCTCTCTCTCTCTCTCTCTCTCTTAAAAAAAAAAAAAGGCTTAGTGAGACCCTGTCTCAAATTTTAAAAAATAATAAAAAATAGATGGAAATGTAACTCAGTGGTACAAACCTCTCCCCACCACCACCACCATTGTTCATTCCCTAGTAACAAAAAAATAATGATAATTATAAAATTATAATAATGCAATTAATGAAGATTAAGTATCCTATTTGGTGTTTTCTGTTTTGTTTGGCCTGTTTCTTATTTACTCCTTTCTTGTTTTAATTTGAATTGGTTACATATTTTGTATTGCTCCTTTTTTCCCCTGAATGATTTTGGAAAACATATACCCCATTTTCATTCTTTTAGTAATTATACTATATATAGTCTTAACATACCAAATTCAAAATTAATCAACACCTTTTTCACTTGCCAGGTAACTCAGAGTTTAGAATACTAACACACTCTTTTTTTTTTAATGTATTTTTTATTTATAACTGGGCACAACATCTTTATTTATTTGTTATGTGGTGCGAGGATTGAACCCAGGGCCTCCCATGTGCTGAAGGAGYAGTCTACTGCTGAGCTACCACCCCAGCCCCCTAACACACTCTTTCTACATTATTGTTTTCTGAGTAATAAACTTTTTGTTTATAATAATTTTTTATTTACAGACAAGTTGTAAAGATAGTACAGGTAGTATTTATTTATTTATTTTTCTAGTACTAGGGATTGAAAACAGAGGCACTTAAACCACTGAGCCACATCCCTAGCCCATTTTATTTTTTTTAAAAAAAAAGAGAGAATTTTTTAATATTTATTTTTTTTTAGTTTTCGGGGGACACAACATCTTTGTTTGTATGTGGTGCTGAGGATAGAACCTGAGCCGAATGCATGCCAGGCAATCGCACTACCGCTTGAGCCACATCCCCAGCCCCTAGCCCATTTTTTACATTTTATTTAGAGGCAGGGTCTCACTGAGTTGCTCAGTGCCTCATCATTGCTGAGGTTGGCTTTGAACTTGAGATCCTCCTGCCTCAGCCTCCCAAGCTGCTGAGATTATAGGCATGAGCCACCTCACCCAGCAGGGTTTTTTTTTTAATTAATTAGTTAATTAATTAATTTTTATGTGGTGCTGAGGATCGAATCCACGGCCTCACATATGCTAGGCAAGCACTCTACTGCTGAGCCACAACCCCAGCCCAGTTTTTTTTTAAACTTATTTTTTATTTTTTAGTTGTGGTTGGACTCAATACCTTTATTTTATTTATTTTTATGTGGTGCTGAGGATCGAATCCACGGCCTCACATATGCTAGGCAAGCACTCTACTGCTGAGCCACAACCCCAGCCCAGTTTTTTTTTAAACTTATTTTTTATTTTTTAGTTGTGGTTGGACTCAATACCTTTATTTTATTTATTTTTATGTGGTGCTGAGGATGGAACCTAGGGCCTTGCACGTGCTAGGCGGACACTCCACCACTGAGCCGCAACTTTAGCCCCAGTTTTTTTTTTTTTTTTAATGAAGAGTCCCAGTCAAGTGTTTTGTAGAATGTCTGTCAACTTGAGTTTTTCTGATATTTTCTCATGATTTGACTGGGATTACAGGTTTTGGGGAAGTATGCTGTAGAGGTAAGGTGCTCTTCTCATGGTATCTTATTKCGGGGTACATGCTAACAACATACTTATCTCTGATGGTATTAACCATGATCCCTTAGTTAAGGTGGTGTCTACCAGATTTCTCCATCATGAAGTTATTATTTTTCTTTCAAAATTCTGTTCTTTAGAAGCAAATTACAGGACCAATTCATACTCAAGTAGAAAGGAATTAAGCTCTACACTATTTGGAATTCTTTGTAAGGAATTTGGTATTTTCTCTGTTTATTCAGTCATCTATGTAATGGGCTTATATGTTTTTTTGGATATATACTTGGGAATGGATAGGCTGACACATGGGAATTCTATGTTTAGCTTTTAGCTTTTGAGGAATTGCATACTATTTTCCATAGCAACTGTATCTTTTTTATTTTTTTCCCCTTTTTGAGATGGGGTCTAATTATGTTGTTCAGGCTGATCTTGAACATCACTTTAGTTTCTTTCATTTTGTTTATTTATTATTTCGATGTTGTTTGTTTATTTATGATTTGTTTATTATGATTTCTGGTGTTGGGATTAACCTAGGACAATTATGAACTCTACAACAACTGAGCTACACTACTACTTGCATCTTTTTAAATTCCCACTAAAAATACATGAGGTTTCTACAACACTTGTCATTTTTCCATCTTGTTTTTGTTTTTGTTTTCTTCAGTGTTGGAGATTGAATCTGGGGCCTTATACACCTGGAACTTGCTCTACTACTGAGCYACACACATGGCCCTCCATTTTTGGATAACAGCTATCCTAGTGGATTTAACATGACATTTTGCTTACTACCTTCCCTCCCTCCCTCCCTTTCTCCCTTCCTCTCTTCCTCCCTTTGTTCGTTCATTCCTTCCTTCCTTCCTCCCTCCCTCCCCTCCTTCCTCCCTCCCCTCCTTCCTTCCTTCCTTCCCTCCATCCCACAGGGGCACTTAATTCACTAAGCTATATCCCAGGCCCCTTTTTTTCCCTTTTGAAACAGGGACTCATTAAGCTGCTTAAGGCCTTGCTGAATTGCTGAGGCTGGCTTTGAACATGCAATMCTCCTTCCTCAGCCTCCTGAGTCATTGGGATTATAGGCATGTGCCATGGAATCCTGCTATCCCCTACCCTTTCTATTGTGTGTGTGTGTGTGTGTGTGTGTTTGTTTGGTATTGGGAATTGAACTCAGGAGCACTCAACACTGAGCCACATCCCCAGCCCTATTTTGTATTTTATTTAGAGACAGGGTCTCACTGAGTTTCTTAGCAACTTGCTAAGTTGCTGAGACTGGCTTTGAACTTGTGATATTCCTGCCTCAGCCTTCCAAGACACTGGGATTACAGGCATGCACCACTGCGCCCAGCTCTGTTTTATTTCTAGATGGTGTCTTACTAAATTGCTTAGGGCCTCCCTGAATTGCTAAGGCTGGCCTTGAATTTGAGAGCCTCCTACCTCATTTTCCTGAGTTGCTGGGATTACAGGCACACACCTCCATGCCTTTTTTAAATTTAATTTTGGCAAAATATGCACAAATGCATGTCATAAAAACTACCATTTTTCATTTATTTATTTTTGTCCTTTTATAGATTGAACTTGGGAGCATTCTACCTCTGAGCTACATCTGTAGGACTCAGTCTCCCAAGTGACTGGGATTACAGGCCTGTACCACTGTGCCTAGCTCCTTTGAATAAATTTTTTTTTTTTTTTTTTTTTTTTTGGTATTGGAGATTGAACCCAGTGGTATTTAACCACTAAGCCACATCCCCATCCCTTTTTATTAGGTATTTTGAGACAGGATCACCCTAACATGCTTAAGATTTTGCTAAATTATTGAAGCTTGCTTTGAAATCGTGATCCTCCTGTTCAGCCTCCCAAGCCGCTGGGAGTACAGGCGTGTGCCACCATGCCCAACTTCAATAATTTAAAAAAGTATATTTTTAGTTATAGATGGATGTGAAACCTTTTATCTATCTATCTATCCATTTATTTATTTAGTTAGTTAGTTAGTTTTAGGTGGCCATAATATCTTTATTTTATTTTTATGTGGTGCTGAGGATTGAACCCAGTGCCTCACGTGTGCTAGGTGAGCACTCTACCACTTGAGCCACAACCCCAGCCCTTTTATTTTTTTATGTGGTACTGAGGGATCAAACCCAGTGCCCCATGCATGCTAGGCAAGTGCTCTACCACTGAGCTACAACCTCAGCTCTCAGTAGTTTTTTTTTTTTATATATATATGTATTTTTAGTTGTAGTTGGACACAATACCTTTATTGTATTTATGTGGTGCTGAGGATCGAACCCAGGGCCCCACACATGCAAGATGAGCACTCTACCACTGAGCCCCAGCCCCTCAATATTTTTTTTTAAATATTTATTTATTTTTTTTT